TATAATATAATTGATCAAATAGCTCTTCTATAAGTAGTAATAATCATTTGGATCAGCGCCATCTAGCGGTCGTGATTTTTTTGGCCAAAAATTGCTTCTGAAATTCTGAAGGAGAGATTTAGGCAGTTTAGCCCTAGAGCCATTTAATCACTTATAAACCAGCCGCAACTTTTGAAACAGATACAAAATAAATAGATAACGATGTTTGTGCTACTTGCGGCAAGTTTACAATTTATCTATTACCCGAAAGTATAAATATATAGGAGCTCGATATTCTTGTAAAACATACACTGCAAACTTGCCGCAAGTAGCACAAACATCGTTATCTATTTATTTTGTATCTGTTTCAAAAGTTGCGGCTGGTTTATAAGTGATTAAATGGCTCTAGGGCTAAACTGCCTAAATCTCTCCTTCAGAATTTCAGAAGCAATTTTTGGCCAAAAAAATCACGACCGCTAGATGGCGTTAATCCAAATGATTATTACTACTTACAGTAGAGCCATTTAATCAATTATAAACCAGCCGCAACTAATTGTATGGTTATAAAATGAAAAGATAAAGTTGTTTGTGCTATTTGCGGCAAGTTTACAACATATCTATTACCCGAAAGTTTGAATATATAGGAGGTTGATATTCGTGTAAAACATACACTGCAAATTTGCCGCAAGTAGCACAAACATCGTTAATTATTTATTTTGTATCTATTTCAAAAGTTGTGGCTGGTTTATAAGTGATTAAATGGCTCTAGGGCCTAAACTGTGCAAGTTACGTAGGTCGTGGTATTCGTGGTAACGCCGCCGCATGGTCGGGCGGCGCTAGCGTCAACCTGTACTTATTAACTATCGATGGGTTCCGCATGTCAACAAACTTCGATATTTTTTACTGTTGACAACAACTCCGAAATATCGGATGGCATGGGAGTGAAAACAGTAAAAAATATCGAAGTTTGTTGACATGCGGAACCCATCGACAGTTAGTACAGGTTGACGCTAGCGCCGCCCGACCATACGGCCTTTTATTACCACGACCTACGAAACTTAACTGCTGTGGCAGCATTTGCGGAATAAGTACAACCCATGACTGTCGGTGACAGTGTTGGTGGCGGTCAGCTGCTGTCCCCTACCCCTCTACTTAAATCTACAATATCCTGAATGATTTGTAATTAAAAATTTATACAAACCTACAATATCTCGTACCCTTTGCATGTATTAGTTCAGTTTATCACACTGCACACTTGCACAGGGAATGTTGTAAAATACTTATATTTAGTTGTTAAGTATCGATTATTTGGAAAAAATAGTAGCTCATAAAAGACTAACTCGTATTAAAAGCGGCAAAGATGGAATTCGCCGGTGCTGGCAAAAGCAAAATGTTCAACAGCTGCAACTTACATATAGTCGCTATATTTATATATAGTTAATTTCAGAGTCCTGACTCAGGACTCCTGAGTGGACGTAACCTTATATTTTGATAGTGTGTGCGCACGGTGTGCGTGTATTCGTGGACTTGTGCATTGGCTCGAAAATCTAAAAATTAATAATGTTAAGGTTTTCTCTTTGTGAAAGAAATTAATTAAATAACTACTGTTACTACACGTAACATGTCATAAAGGTATAGTAAACGAAATGGGCAACGAGTCGCAGATCGTTAGCATCCTTAATGAGATTCTCGTGAGTATACTTAATTCTCTGTTTACCTGTCGGTTGTTTACTTTCCAAGTAAACTTATGATTGCTATTAAAATCGTGATTGTGTGACTAGAGGGTGGAAGCTATAGAAGAGGCGTTTAGCTGCATCATAGTGCACGACACAAGCAACGAAAAAGAGAAGCTAACGAGATGGCAGGGAGAACTTACAACTGCTATGTTGAGTCTGACGCCAGAGCAGCAAGAAAACGCCATACGAAAGTTTTTGCATACCCTGGCAGACACGACCAATTGCAAACGTATGCATTTAATACTATCGCTGTTGGAAAATATGGTTTCAACCAATGTTCTGCCTGCCAAGTAAGTTGTTGATTGGTACCTGCATTTCCATGATGGGCAATGTTTTTTATTGTTTTTTTCGTTCAGGTTGGTTTGCGATTGTATATTGAGCTGTGACAAGTTGCAATATCAAAATGAAGAGTTTTGGATCAAGTGTTTCACTTTGATCAGACGTATAATTGGTGGTGTTGATTACAAGGGTGTCAGACAAATCATGAAGGTAGTGTTGATAGATTTTGTTTATTTTTTTTTTCATTTTGACTTACTAACATGATGAAAATGATTCTTACGTTTTGTTTCAGGCATGTAAAGAAAAAGCTCATTCGTTGCCTACTAGACTGGATGCTTCGGTACAACCTCAGATGAGGGTCTTGGAAAATCTGATTGAGTACATATTTGACAGGAATGCGTGTCTGTTGCCTAGTTATTTGATTATCAATGAGCTTCAGAAACTTCCGGAGAACAATGAGTGGCCTCATTGGGTAAATTTTATTTATCGTATGAAAATTTTATAATTTAAAAGTTTATTTTAAAACGTGTTTACATTTTTTTTATAGCTAAAAAAATTGATATCAAACTTTATAGAAAGTTTTCGACATGTAGTACAAATGATTTCGATTGTTGGCCATTCAAAAATGTTGCCAGTAGTAGAGCATACAGGCTATGATGATCACTTGGTGAGTCCATGGCTGCTAGACCGTAATACTTTACAGTTTTCTTTGAAAGGATGCCTTCCGTACGATGTAGATATATTGAAACCACAGACTGAGCTTTTAAGATATGTGTTGGAGCAACCTTACAGTAGAGACATGGTCTGCTCCATGTTGAGATTGCAAAAACAGGTAAGTTTTTTTTTAGTGTTTTCAAAGTGAAAAAATTATCAAGAAATTTTTATTTGTTTTTTTTTTGTACTGCTAGCAAAATTCTAGATGTTTAGCTTTAGAAGAACAATTAGTAGATCTCATGATAAGAAATATGGAAAAATCAGAAAGTGAATCCACGCCTGCAGAGGGATCTGATGGAGCAATAAGTAATTATTGGCCATGGTTGCATCTCTCATCACAATTGATTCATTATGTTCTTTTCCAGTTCGTCAGCTTTCCTAGTTTCGTAATGGCGATTCATGATCGGGTATTTATATGCAAACTAATAATATATTTTTCTCTGAGTAATAATAGTCTTATTTAACATACCTCAATTTGTAGCTCACTGGTAGAGAATGGAAAAAGGCAAGAGATCATTTAATGTGGGTGCTCTTGCAATTTATTTCTGGAACCATACAAAGGAATCCAGTAAGATTTTTTAATCTATATAAATAATATTATACCAACGAATAGCACATAACAACTAAAATAATTATTTTTTTGCAGTTAGCGTCATTTTTACCAATATTTAAATTATATGATTTATTGTATCCAGAAAAAGATCCATTACCAATACCAGATCTAACGCATTCGAAATGCACACACGAGATGGCTTTGATATGCATTTGGCTACAACTCCTAAGAAAAGCTCAAGCAGAGCAATCTAATTGCCATAGGCCTATTCCACACAATTTAAAAACCCACTACGAGTAATTATGATTGTTGTAAAAGTAACGTAAAATTAAGTGATTTATAAAATTATATATTTCGTCTGATAGGTTTCTTCAACATGCAGTAACACAGCCCAATCTTACTATGGGTTCGGATTACCGAATTGTGTTATTGTGCAATGCATACTCCACCAATAGCGTAAATGATTATTTTTCACGGTCTATGGCTGTTCTTTTCGACTCCATTCAAAAGGTATTTTGATAAGAAAAATGTCATCTGTCACTAAAATCTTCGATTTCCAGATATCTAATTGCTTTTTTTTTATCAGAGTCATCCTCAACAACCATTGCAAAATTTGCAAGGCAATGCTGCAATGGTTAACAATCCAACGACGCCTTTATCAATGTCAATTCTGGATTCTCTAACCGTTCATGCTAAAATGAATCTAATTCATAATATCGTGCAACATATGATGAAATCCGCTCATTCAAAAAGTAATTCGGCACTTCCGCCGGCTCTCGTCGAGACGTACAGCAGACTATTAGTTTATACGGAGATCGAGATTTTGGGCATTAAAAATTTTATAAGTAAGAATCATTTTTCAGACAACGAAAATATAAAATCATGGCCTAGATATTCATGATTATGTAATTTCACTCCAGGTCAACTACTTCCGACGATTTTCAAAGCTCACGCGTGGGGAACGTTGTATACTTTGTTAGACATGTTCAGTTACAGAATGCATCACATTCAACCCCACTATAGAGTTCAAATTTTAAGTCACCTTCATAATTTAGCAACAGTACCTCAGACTAATCAAACCCAGCTGCATCTGTGGTAAATTGGTTTTGTACAAAAAAAAATCTCACAATACTTACTGATATAAACTATGTTTCCTGACAAATTCTACCTTTTTTTTTTTTAGCGTTGAAAGCAGTGCCTTACGCTTGATAACGGGACTCGGTTCGGCTGAGGTGCAACCTCACCTTTCCAGATTCTTATCTGAGCCAAAAACGTTAATATCTGCCGATTCCGAGGAGCTAAATAGAGCTTTAGTGCTTACTCTTGCAAGATCAATGCACATAACAGGCACAGGAGCTGATACTGTGAGTGGAGCTTGGTGTAAGGATTTGCTCAACACCATTATGCAAAACACACCACACTCGTGGGCGGATCACACGTTACAGTGTTTTCCGCCGATTCTGAGTGATTTCTTCCAACAGAATAGTGTTCCAAAGGAGGAGAAGCAACAGATTAAGGTTTTATATTTAAATCTTATGGATTAAGTTTTCACAGAGTTCAAAAAAAAAATTTTTTTTTCAGAAAGCTGTAGAGGAAGAGTATAGAAACTGGGCCTCGATGAGTAACGAAAATGATATAATAGCTCATTTCTCGGTTTCCGGAACACCCCCGCTTTTCCTTTGTTTGTTGTGGAAAATGATTCTTGAAACCGATCGTATTAGTCCAATAGCTTACAAGTACTATTCAAACTTATTTAATGGTCATTTTTTAAATTCAATGTGATTTTTTCAATTCCAACTGTTTATCTCTGTAGGATATTAGAACGGATAGGAGCCAGAGCGTTGTCAGCTCACTTAAGGAAGTTTTGTGATTACATAGTTTTTGAAGTCTCGAGTATAACTTGCGATGGAAATTACGTGAACAAAAGCGTTGACGCTATTAATAATATGATTTGGAAGTACAACATCGTCACGTTTGACAGATTAATTTTATGTTTAGTGAGTACGCGTACAAATTTTATTTTATTTCATGTTTTTATCAGTAATTTTGCAAAAATTGTATTTTAGGCTTTAAGAACGTTGGAGGGTAACGAGGCACAAGTCTGTTTCTTTATTATTCAACTGCTGCTTCTAAAAGCCGCAGAGTTCCGTAATCGTGTACAAGAATTCGTCAAAGAAAACTCACCAGACCACTGGAAACAGTCAAACTGGCATGAAAAGCACTTAGCCTTTCATCGCAAGTTTCCAGAAAAATTTGCTCCAGAGGGATTTATCGAGCAATCCTCTGGTAGTCCGAATCAGTATCAGACTTTTCCAGCTTATTTTGGTAATGTTTGTCTGAGGTTTCTACCAGTTTTCGACATAGTATTACATCGTTATCTTGAAATTCCGCAAGTTACCAAGAGCCTTGAAGTGCTCTTAGAGCATTTGGGGTGTTTGTATAGGTTTCACGGTAATACAGCTTTTTTTACATAAAATTTGAAATTCATTTTTCATACTCAGACAATGAGAAATATGTCATTGTTATTTAGATCGGCCTGTTACATATTTGTACAATACGCTACACTATTACGAGCGTAAATTGAGAGACAAGCCTGTATTAAAACGTCGATTAGTTACAGCTATATTAGGATCGTTAAGAGAAACTAAAACTCCAGGTTGGGCTTTATCCGAAGCTTACCAAAGATACATAGCTCGACCTATAGAGGATCTACAATGGCAACCCGAACTTGATTATTATGTGCGGCTCATTCAAAGATTAGTCGAAAGTGAGTATCAATTTTTGTAAAAATGTATATTAGTTGAAGATCACACATCTAAGACTGTAGAATTTATTTTACTTAGCAATATCTGGAACAGCAACTTTTCCACCCACTGATTGGAGGTTTAATGAGTTTCCAAATCCTGCAGTGCATACATTATACGTCTCCTGTGTTGAGCTTATGGCTCTTCCCGTAGCTCCCAGTATAGTTGCCAATAATTTACTGGACGTTGTGGCTAAAGGGTGAAAAGCATTCGTTTACTTTAAACTAAAAATAATCAGTTTCGTATTAAAATTTTAATAAAAAAATAATTTGTAAAACTTCCAGATACACTGTAATTCCTTCAGATGAGATTCATTCATGGATAAACTGCATAGGAATAATAATGTCGGCGTTACCAGAGTGTTACTGGTCGACTTTGCACGAACGATTAGTGCAAACAATAGTCAGTCCTGGACTTACAAATTGGCAATATGATAATTTGACGTCATTTCAATTATTTAATTTTAATTTGACGCACAACAGTTTCTTTGAAAACAAGTATAGTTACATGTTAGCTTTAGCTCATTCTATATGGCATCATGCTGGTGTCGGTCAAATGGTTACAATGGTTCAGTAAGCTATCAATTTTTACATTTAATAAACTAAGAAATCGAATACTTCATAAAGCGTAAACAAAAAAAAAAAAAAAAATTTTAGATTCATCAAAGAAAAACTGCAACCTGTTGTAAATACTGAGGAACAGCTTATTTTTGCGTGTCACTTAATAGGACCAACGTTAAACCGCTTCAACGTGGAAAGACCCAAATGTATATCGGATCTTACATTAATATTGTACGAAATGTTAGAACGAGTCAGCCACACTCAGACGCATTTAAAGCAAATGGATCCAGTTTGCGATTTATTGTATCCTTGGAAAAAAAACTAATTTAAATATTTAATTTTAAAATCTATTATTTCGTTGCAACTTCATATTTATTGATTTTGTTATGTTTCCTTAATCGCAACTTTTAGGTATCATATTAAATACATGTTTATAGGTAATTTGATGAAAAATGAGGTGGACTGTATCATAAGACGTCTGAGACCAGCTCTGCAAATGCGACTGCGTTTCATAGCACACTTAAACATAGAAGAAATTCAGTCTTCCTGAAGAAAAGTTGATATTTTTGCTAGTACAAGCACGTCAGCAGTAACAACAAAAAATCTTTAATAAATGTGATGAAAGCAAATTTATTTCTATTTGTGTAATATGATAGTTTTAGTCGTATTTTGAGTTTTTAACTTTTGTTTCACTGTCAACGTGTAAATATGTAATTTGTAAATAATTGAACATTTTTTTAAGTACAATATATTTATTTATTCTGAAGTACTATTAGAGTAGTATTATTAAGTACTATTAATAATCTCTCTTCTAAATTACTCATCATTTAAAAGATAGGCGCGCGAATTGCATTTAAGCTCATTTATTTTTATTGTCGTTACGTTGTATTGTCATTATCAAAGGATTTACTTTAAACTTTAAATTAAAAAAAAAACTTGTGTAAAAAATTATATACATATATATAATTGTGCCATAAACTTAACATTTATACTTTAAATAATAAATCTTGATTGCAAAAATACTTAAAATTAACTTTGTAACAATTTAAGATGACTTGGTGTAATGCTTTGGAATGATGCATAAGGAAAAATTTTTAGGTTGTTCTGTCATCGTGATGAAGTAATAAAAAGTCGATGAAATTTTTTTTGTATAATTTTGATGCGATTTCCTGCAGCATAGACACCGCCTTTGCCCTTCACCCTCGCATTTATGACGACAGAACAACTTAAATAAAAAGAATGACTGTTACGCAATAGAAATTCAGTCAAGAGAATTGAATCAAAATCTTACGGTATAAAGTAATTTAAGACCCCTTTTATCGTGCGGTGAATTTACTATCTCAAATTTTCTGACGCATCTTCAACGCAAGATTATACTTAAAGCACAGTAAAGCTTTTTAGGCGTACGAAATTAAAAACTCGAATGCCTATATATCACCTTTTATACCTTTTCATTACTGGAAGCATTTAAATAGCGTCATAATTGACATTTCCGGCGTTGGAAGCTTCTGCTACTTTAGCAAAAGTTTCATAAGATATGGCATTTTGTTGTACAAATTCCTGCTCCTTCATTTTACTAACCCACTTCAACTGTAAATATTTTTATAAATTATTGTGTAAAGGTAATTTATAAATTATTACATGAAATGCAATATCTGATAATTGACTCACAATCAGCGGGAACTTTTCTTTTTCAAAGTCCATTGGTTCCTTGTAAATCAATGCAAGACACTTTGCTTTTTCTACAAAAGGCCACATAAGGATGTCAACCATACCAGGATTATCACCTGCAAAAAAAAGTTGTGTAAAAAAAGACAACAGATTTTTGTAAGATTAAAAAATGCATGACGAACCAGTAAAGAAGGGCGTATTTAATTTTTTAAGCTCTTCCTCAAATTCCACGAGATAGGTACACATTTCGTCCACAGCTGTTTTAAGAGGTCTGGTGTCTTTTCTATGGACACAATCAAAGAATACTTTGAGGATCTACAATGAAATTGAATATATTATTATTTAATCAGTAGAATTGCAAGTAAACGCAAAATTTTATCAACTTTTACTTATTTAATCATAATGTATGTCAAAAGCTTAAAAATCCTTAGATATATTACCTTGCCATAATGTTCCAACAGTTCCAGGTCCCGTTTTATAGTTTCCTTTTTGCACAGAGCTGGTTCCGGATATTTCTCTTCCAAATAGTTTACTATCGCAGTTGAATCCACAACGATTTCTCCATTAAGATCCACCAAGGCTGGTACTTTACCTTCAGGATTAATCTAAAAAAAATTTCTCAGTTTCTTAAGAGAATCAATCAATAATCAGTGTACATGTGCTGCATGACAAATCATTTTACCTGCATGTACCATTCAGGTTTATCTCTCAAGTTAATGTTAACTATGTCATGAGGAATTTTCTTAAACGTCAACGCAAGACTGACTCTCTGAGCAAATGGACAATACTTCATTCTATACAGCCTGACTTTGCCTTCCACTCTTGGTGGTTGTTCGGAACCTGAATAATAAGTTTTACATAAGTAGGCGTATGTCTATGGATTTAAACTAATAACGGTGTAATTAAAGAATAAACTAAAAAAATATCTTTTGAATTACGTATTTGTAATGATTACAAAAAATAAAAAAATCACCTGCTCCAAGGTGAGAACTCATCATTTATTCTTTTTATCCAGTTGAAGACCCGTAGGTAACCTTAAGCGAATATGAACGTGATCAGCGTCAATTGAAGACACACCCAATAAATCGATCAGTCGGCTACTTTTAATTTTTAATCACAATAATATCAACACGAAAGGAGATTAGGTAAATGGACAGTGCGCACTGCGCACTTTATTTTATCTCTTTATCTGTATGTTGTGACGTGTGTGTTTATACATAATAATATACTTATATGTTAGCGGCAGCCGCCTTTCGGCTCTTCTTTTTAACAAGTCAAGAAGCCGACAGCTGCTTGTGTTTCCTTGTTGTTTTGATACAATCGATTCTCTCTTTCAATATGCAACGCGCAATAAGGCTGCAGTCCCATGGAGCGCAATAGAGCGAGCAGGATATAATTGTCTGTGTGACCCGGGGCGCTTACTGGCCACTCAATTAAATAATAAAATATCAATTATCAACACAAGCGCCTATCACCCAATGACCCGGGGCGCCTACTGGCCATTATTAAATAATAAATTATCAATCACTTACTAGAGCACCAATTAAAAAGATCTTTGTCGTACTAGATAGGCAATCAAAATTATGAATTGTTTACATATGTTATCAATTAACTTTTTATTATTAAATAGTGTGGCCAATAAGTGTCCTGGGTCATCAGAAAAAAGGTGCTTGACATATTTATGAATAATTATTTATTTACTAGATTTGGAATTAGCGCCTCAGGTTATACGGTGATAGGTGCTTGTGTTATCAATAATTATTTATTTAACAGAGTGGCCAGTCAGCGCCCCGGGTCATTGGGTGATGGGCGCTTGTGTTATAAATAAGTATTACAATTTTTAATTTTCGTGCGTTGTGGGTACCGTCTTTGGCAATGCCCCTTTACTGCTGTCTGCTCGGCGGAACATTCTCCCTAGATCGTATAGCTATATATATGATCTAGGGAAAAAGTTCCGATACTGAAAACTGAATTCGCCTAACGGCCTAACGCCCTAACCCAACGCTGAGGCTGAGGCTACACTTATTCGCTCCGAGCCGATGCAGAGGTTGCGCCCCCTCTAGCCAAAATCAGGCAACATTTCTTGCATGTAAACAAACGGTTTAGAACATATATACATACGTACAGCTGCTTGTGATTGGCACTTGGCAAGCTAGAGAGAGAACGACGATCCTCTCCTGCTGTCTTATTCAGCCAATCACAAGCAGCTATACGTATGTATATATGTTCTAAACCGTTTGTTTACATGCAAGAAATGTTGCCTGATTTTGGCTAGAGGGGGCGCAACCTCTGTATCGGCTCGGAGCGAATAGCACCGTGCTGTCCGTGCTAGTGATTTTCTGAGGTTGCTAGCGCGCTGTTAGAGAATTTTCTGAAAAAGAAATAGGGGTATAATAGGGTATTTTTTTCGAAAACGAAGGGTGCGCTCCGTCCGCTTCAAGTATCTCGGTATCCTAGATGACATTTATGTGCAAGGAGAGAAAAGTATGACATGTTATCTCTCTCACACTAATGAGTTAGCTACACATTATCTAAATACTTTGTTTAAAGATTAAATGGCTAGTGCTTACGGACTTACGGAAGGCATCCGAAAAGAGAGCAAAAAAAAGGGTACCATTAGTTCAAAATTAGCCACGCTAGATGGTGCTGACTGTAAACTAAATTTTTGATCGATCTGATGTGTAAGCCCTAAATCGTCTCATCAATGATAAATTTTAAACAATTATACACAGTTTTTTTTATTATGGTCATATGGGGTACTGACCTCAAAGAGGTATTACATATACTCTCACGTATAATATTTAATAAAAACATGCCACTGGAATTTTATAAAAACAGTCAGTAGGGCTGCCCTATCCCGGCACCCGACAGTAAGGCAACCATACTAGCCCATTATTTTCGCAAAGGCTCTCTCTGTACTTTTTTACTGCCCAACAAACAAAAGAGGTTGATTAAAATTTAAAATATAAACAGCAAGTGACGTTTTTGCCTTGTTTTTCAAATTTAATGTAAAGTGAAAGTCTCGAGTGTTAAGAACATCAACGATTAATATGAATCAACTTACATAACACACTCAGCCGAGATTAATTATTTTCATATATCTTGATTTTGAGTTCTTAACAGCACCATTGCAGTTGTAGTGTTGATGTTGTTTGAAAATCGTTTAAATTAAAAGTAAATTCATTGCGATCCTGTGAAAAAGTAAGAATTGATTATTTATTACTTATGTATCACACAGGATGACAGAGCAGAATTTTCCACGTCTGAAGAATGACCAGATACTTAGAGCAATCAAGGGTGATGACGTCGACAAGGTGCCAGTGTGGATCATGAGACAGGCTGGTAGGTACTTGGAGGAGTTCAGGGAACTGCGTAAGAAGCATGACTTTTTTGAAATCTGCCAGACTCCGGAGCTAGCGTGTGAAATAACGCTGCAGCCTATCAACAGGTTTGACCTGGATTGCAGCATTATATTTTCTGATATACTTGTCATTCCACAAGCTATGGGACTCACAGTTGAAATGAGGCCTGGAGTTGTCTGTATCTAAATTTTACAGTGCTTATTTTTGAAACAGTAGCCAAAAATTATATGACTGATTGTGTTCAAAGGGACCTGTGCTGCCTCAACCACTGACAGATCCGTCACACATGTCCAGACTGAAGATGCCTAATGTTGAAGTAGAACTTGGATATGTTGGTAAGGCTATTACATTGACAAGACATAAATTGGAAGGCAAAGTTCCCCTTATTGGCTTTGCAGGAGCTCCAGTGAGTGTTTTGCTTTTATCTTATGTAATTTTTGAATAGCAATTGTTGGATTAATATCCTTTTTTCTAAATGTTTCAGTGGACATTAATGGGATATATGATTCAAGGAGGTGGAAGCTCTACAATGGCACAAGCCAGAAGTTGGCTGTACAAATATCCAAATGAGTCCCATAAATTGTTACAAATGATAACCGATGTTCTGGTTGATTACTTAGTTATGCAAGTAAAATCTGGTGCACAGGTGGGCTTGTAGCTAATTCAATGATAAAGAAAAGTAGTTTTGTTTTATTTTAATTTTCATACACTTTTCAGTTGTTACAAGTATTTGAGAGTCATGGAAATTTTTTGAATGATGAGCTGTTCAAAAAATATTCACTAAAATATTTTATACAGATAAATAAGGAAGTGAAACGTAAACTAAGTAGCTTAAACATTCCACAAGTTCCAATGGTATTATTGTAATTTCATTATTCATTAGCTCACATCATCTCGAAATATAATTATGGATTTTTTCTTTCAAGATAGCATTTCCCAAGGGAGCCACTTTGAATTCGATCGAAATTTTTGCAAAAGAAGCTGGTTATGATGTAATTGGCTTGGACTGGACAGTTGATCCTAAGGATATCAGAGAAAGGGTAGGACCAAATATTACCCTTCAAGGAAATATGGATCCATGTGCCTTGTACTCATCCGAGGTGAAAATAAATTTTGACATATGTTGTCTCAAAGTATAGAGGAATGTGCACGATTTTAATCTATTTTTTTAATGATGAAAACAATGCCATTACAGGAAGAAGTACGACAAAGAGCTGAAAAGATGGTGCGTGATTTTGGTAAACATCGTTACATTGCAAATCTAGGTCATGGAATACTGCCAGATACACCTATTAAATCAGTTGAAGCATTTATAGAAGGTATTCATTCTGTATGAAAAAAAATTACTGTCATTTAAAATTTTTTTAACATTGACATTATGTGATTCTCTAAGAATTAAGAGGATTTTTATATGAGAATGTATGAGAGATGAGAGGATCTGAGTAAAAAGTAAAGTAATAATTTTCAACATTTATTTTTCATCATTTGTTTTTAATGATCAACAATTGCATTGACGGACGACAATTTAGCAATGATCGGATTCATCACAAATTATAATTTTTTAGGGGCACGGTTTTATCAAATATTTTCAAATTTTCATTTGCAATTCTCTTACAATATTTTTGCTTTTTTCGTTTCATAAATACTTATGAGTTATACTTTATACATGGCTTTTTGTATAAATTATCATAATGTACACTAAGATTTTAATTTAACATACAGCGCTTTGAAACGCAGTAATAGAAACGTGATTAATTATCAACTACCCGCACGACTTAATTTATACTTTCGAATTTTTTTTTTATCTTAAATAAGATGTGACTTACATCTATATAGTAATGAAATATACTACACTATTTACAAGCCAAAACTCTTTACTAAACTGAGATACACGTGTTTCGTGATTTTAATTGTTTTGTTTTGACCGGTTCAAATGTTTTTGTTTATCTGTCAACACTCGACAATATTAATCATTGAAAAAAGAATTGAAGTATGACGTTCGAAAATTAATAACTTCAAAAAAATGTTTCTTACAAGGTTAAGTCATAATTACGAGATCTAGGGAGTAGTGGAATGAATCAATATTTAAAATAAATTTTAACGCTAACTATTTAAGTCTTAAAAATAAGTCTAAAAAAAAAAAAATTTCTCTGAGTATAACAAGACCCACAAGTGCTTCGCGAAAGAAAATGTAAAATTAAATATAATGATTTTGCTGACGAAATACGTTTAAATGTTCAAAGTATCGTTGATAAAGTTAAGTAAAAAACTTTACCAAAAAAAAATACAATGACTCATTTACCATTTAGTGGTAAATCTTGATGTGAAATTTTTCCGATGGGAATATAATATATATAACAATATTAAACTTCTAACAAATCTTGTATATTATCGATTTGATAAATCTGTACGTGTTAAGAAGTAATTAATTTCAGTCAGAAGTAAAAATAAATATATTTTTCTTATTCTATAAATAAACATCACTTGCATGCATGCAATCAGACGTTCTTTCGCCGCGCATAACTTTAGCCTCTAACGCGTTCCTGAAAAATTCGTATCGCTCTGTACTGTACAAGCAATCGCTCTCTTAAATCTTAGAAGGTACAAAAATCTTCGCAAAGAACATTTTGTTGTTTATGGTCCCAACCTCGATAATCGACGACTCGATACCTTTAGCTTTTGGCACTCACGTCATCCTCGACGACTCCCTCCTCTTCCTCCTCGGGCACTTCGTCAACCTCAACTTCATCCTCTTCTCCTTCCTCTTCCTCGACTTCTTCATGCATCTCTTCGTCCTGCTCCTCGACTTCTTCTTCTTCTTCTTCCTCCTCGTCTTGAGCTTGGCTCATTTCCATCTCAAAACTTTGCTGGTGCTGCTCATCATCTTCCTGACTACCTTCTACAATGGCCTCATAGTCTTCCAGGGCAAAACCCGTGCCGTCCTGGAAGACATACTGAGCCATGTCATGGACCGAGTCGTCGTTCTCGAGGTCTGCCATGTTACGCTCTATAAGAATCTGGTTGCCATCCGCATCATTTGCCAGCATTAGCACCGTTCCATTTAAATTGTGCATGTCATTCTCATCGACTTCTAGCACTTCGGCTTCGTCATTCATGACTTCTTCCTCCTCAGCTTCTTCCATCTCTTGACCATCGTGCTCTTCTTGCTCTTCGTGCCTCTCGTGCTCCTGTTCATCCACATCTTCCTCTTCTTCTGCATCAGCAATCTCTACTTCTCCTTCTTCTTGCTCTCCTTCGACTTCTTGCTCTTCTTCTTGCTCCTCTTCACCTGTAAATACATTTCAAATGTCATAATGCATATTTATGGTACAAAGAGAAAAAAAAAAGGTGGAAAAAAAATTTAACTTCATTAATAAGATGAATGAGCGCAATCTGTTTTTGCGTCCAAAGAAATGAAAAAGGAAATTTATTCAAAGCTTTTGCATAATGCACCAGAATAAATGAAGACGAATTACCTTCGTTGCTGCTCCTTGAGTTGTCCGTGTGGAAAGCACTGTTGGGATCGACAACTTGGGCTTGCGGGACTTCCTCATCATCCGAATCTTCGTCGTTACTACTTTCTTCCGCGCTGGAATCGCTCTTCTGCTCCTTTTTCATGTCGAGGACTAGCCTAATGCGCTCTTTTCCGTCGTTATTGTGCTCATTACTTTGTGTAGGAGCGGCCAGCATTGGACTAAGAGCTGGTGGTCCGTCGTCTTCCGAGTAATTGACCAGCATAGGCTCTTTCTGCGAGAGCTGGTAACGATCCTTGATCTCACGCTGCTGCTGCTGTTGCTGCTTCTTGAGATACTCGTCGTCGTTGTGGGCATCGTCGTCTTCATCATCGGACTCGGACAGTGCTGGCTCATAGCGCGGCTTCTCGTCATCGTCTTCTTCCTCTTCTTCTTCTTCTTCTTCTTCGTCTACACCAAGATTCATCGTCTGGACCTCGGTCTTGACGTTGACAGGCTGCGGTAACTCGACGACATTTCCCGAGTCCTTGCTGCTGTCCTCTTCATGGTTCCTCGGTCTCTCGGCGTCACTGCCATCCTCGTCATCGCTGTTGTCGTCATCGTCGCTCGAGCTGTTGCTACTGTTACTGCTACTATCCGAGTCGTTGGACTTGTCGGAGCTGCTGTCGTTGTTGTCAGAGTCCCGAGCTGCGCTCTCCTCCTCTGACTCAAACTCGTTCTCTTCCTCGACATCATCGTCGTCTTCATCGCCGATGAGACTGCCCTTTTCCTCGTTATCTTCTTTGGATATCAGCGATTCACTGGCATTATCACCTTCTCGGGCTCCCATGCACGTGGCAATGTGCTCCTTGAGCTTCTCGTCGTTCTCGAAGGTACGGTTACAACGCTGACACAGAATATTGCCCTTGCAATTGATGTGTATGCTCATGTGAAGCAAGAGTTTGCTTCGCGCATTGTGATAACGACCACATATCTTGCAAGTAAAGTTGTTGCCCGCGGTCGACAAAATAGACGGATGTATGTTCTTCAGATGCTCGGAGAGATCGTCGTACGTAACACAGAGCTTGAGACAAACTCCACAGGTGACGGCGGCCTCGGAGCGATGGAAGCGAATCAGATGCTGCCACAAGTGTTTCTTGGCAGGCCACTGTTTTCCGCAGACCTCACAAGTGCACTCGGTGTTTGTGGACTCGTCGTACACTTTACGCGAGTCTTTGCGCGAATACTTGGACGACTTACCGGAAGCCTGACCACCGCCAAGAGGCATGAGACTAGGCACTGGCTTTTGACCCGATAACTGCATGTTGATGTCCTCGAACAGATTGAAGTCTGGAATGTTGAGATTCGTCTCGCAGAGCATCGGCTCCGGCTCTTCGCGCTTGATCATCTGCTGCTGTTGTTGCTGACTGTTGCCCTTGAGGTGAGCCTCAAGTATCGACGTTGTCGGCGCTACCGACTTGCGCGTGCACATGTTCACGTGGTCCAGATACAGGACCTTGGTGCAGAACTGTTTTTGGCAGTTTTTACACTCGTAGTTTTCGCGATCGCGGATCTTCTTCTTAGCTTTGAACAGAGGCGAGGATTCGACCTTCATTCGCTTGAACATGCGTTGTGGATTGGTATTGTGAACGTTGCGGTAATGAGACGCCAATTGTTCGTGATTGAGGAAAATCTCCGGACACATCTCGCAGTCGAAGGTGTCGCTCATCGAGCGTCTGCGTTTTTTCGAATCGTTCGAGTTGCCATTGTCATCGTCGAACGGCTCTATATCGAAATCGAGTTCCTCGGGCTCCTCTTTGACGACTACCTCGGGTCCAACGGGTCCAAGGTCGTAATCGTCCATTTTATTACCCGCAACCTCTAGCCTGTACTGGAACGCGTCCAGTTGGTCTTTGGGAATGTTGTGCACGTGCTCGTAGTGCGAGCGCAGATCCACGTCCGTCGTGAAGACAGCTAGGCACTGTTTGCACGTACGGAAAACCTTGCCGTGGCACTTTTTCGTGTGATCGAATGCCTTCCATTTCGAAGCATACTGTTTGCCGCAGACTTGGCACGTATTGGGTCTGTCCAGAACACCGGGGTGACTATCTTCGACGTGCTTCTTGAGATCTTTGGGATCGTTCATTGGTATCAAACAAATGCCGCACGAGACGCCGATTTCGTTTCTGTGCAAGCTCAGAATGTGCATCTTGAGTTTGAGCTTGTTTTCAACAGTGTCGCCGCAAAAGTCGCAGACGTTCGGGTTACCGTGGTGCTTATGATCCTTGCGGTGAGACTCTAGATCATCTTTCGTCCTGAAGAGCTTGCGGCAACTCTCGAGCTCGCAAGTGAGATCCGGGTGGTGCATGTGATGCATCCGGTTGTGCGTCATGATGCCAAGTTTCGAGGTGATGGTCTCTTTGCAGAGATGGCAGTCGTAAAGGGTGTGATGGTTTTCAATATGTTTCTGTAAACTTGCTCGATCCTTGAAGATTCGCTCGCATGCTCGGCACCGAGTAAGCAGCGCACCTGGATCCTTTCGATAGTTTTGACAGCCCTTCATATGACGACGCAGCAAATAGCGCTTGTGGAAGGACTTGTTGCATTTTTCGCAGAAGTGCAGGCCATCTTCCTCATTGGCCGAGGCCGTATCGTTGTACAGGTTAGTACTTTTGCTGCTGTTGAAACTCTGTATCGACACGTCATTTTTCACTTCAGGCTCGTAACGATGAATCTTGGCGATGTGGGCAGCCAAATGATCCCGGGAGGCACTCGTCTTTAAACAGTAACGGCAGGTGATATCTTCGTGGCCCTTGTGCACACGGTTTACGTGTTTCCACAGATGCGACGTGCGTCCGTAGCACTTGTTGCACAGATCACAGGGGAAAAGATTGTGTGCAACTTTTCGATGGGTGCTGAGATCCTCAAGACAGGGGAACTTGAGGTCACCGCACATTTCGCAGCTAAGATCCATCGACACTGGCTCAATCGGTTGAGGCAGGCCGTTGTCCATTTGATGCGACTCTAGGGAAACTTCGTTCATGGCATCGTGAATGATCAAACTACTGTTGGTGGAAGCTGGATTGAAGACTTCGCCGTCAAGGCCATGGATTTTTCTGTGCCTCGACATTTTACTTTTGTTGGAGTAAGGCCTACCGCAGATGTCGCAACTAAAGTCACCAGTGGTCAAGGGCCAGTGTTTTTGTTTTACGTGCTGGCTGAGCTGCATCACGTCGGGGAAGACTTTCAAACACACGCCGCAAATCAGGGGCACGGTATCGGAGTGTACACCCATAACGTGTTTCCAATAGTCAACTCGACTGCCCCACAGTTTACCGCAAATCTCGCAGGTGTTGGGAGAACTGCCCTGCAGCTGATGGTGTTGCGCGTGCTCGTTGCGTAACGTCTTTGTGGCAAAAATCTTGGCGCAGTCGTCGTGCTCGCACCTAATTGACGGTTCATTGCCATGCATGCCGCTCACGTGCAGCCATCGTTCCCATTTGCTGGGATACGAACTGCCGCAGAGCTCGCATACGAAAAACAGATGGTACTGAGCTCGGTTGACACTGCCATTTTGTCCAGTTGGGCCACCGTTGCCGCTGTACTCGCCCAATGGTATGTTACCATCAGTCTTGTGGGCGTTTCTTTGATGCCGAATGAGATGATCTTCGCTAGGGAATGACTTGTAGCAGATGTAGCAGTCAATCTTTTCGCTCTCCTCGTCGCAGTCCATGATAAGCTCATTGCCCTCGTTACTATTCATATTTTCGTTGTAGTAGTTTGTATTCAGTTGAACGTATCTCGAAGCATCGTAGCTCGGGTCAATGTTGTGAATCGACACGTGGTTTATGAGCTTTTTCCGCGAATCATGCTGTCTACCGCATATTGTGCAGCTATACCTGTAATGAGAAACCATTCACTGTGTTGAGCCATCTGATACAGAAAAAAAAAAACCTGGTTTATTAAAATATCAAAGTTTTTTTCAAATACCTTCTCTGTTCGGACATGGCAAGCTTCGATCCTCCATGATACATATTGACGTGATTTTGTAACTGGGCGTTGTCTGAACATATTTTAAGGCAGACTCCACAAGCAAACGCCGCGTATTCTTTATGAGTGGCTCGAATGTGTAGCCACAGTGACGCACGGTCGTTGAAATCGCGTGTACAAATTTCACAAACAAAGACTGTCTCCACCTCAAGCATGTTGTCATTTCCATTCTCGTGTTCGTCGTCGTCATTATCCAAATTCTGCAAAAGTCAGATGCATCACATAAATATCGTAAAAAATAAAATGGATTCATTCCAATATACCACGAAACAACATACATCAGAATAAGGAGACACAGAATTTTCTTTGGCAATATGGTGATCCTCTAGCTTGATAAATGCCTGGTCATTAGCATTTTGCATTGATTTTTTGAGGCACTTATCACTCTCGACCAAAGGCGTAGGATCGACACCGTGCGATGCGATGATGTGTCTGCTTAGAGACGATTTCACAGCAAAGTCTTTCTCGCACAGAAGGCAAATGTAGGGCTTCTCGGCGTCATGAGTTTTTTCATGCTGCTTCAGCTCATCAACTGTGGCAAAGTTAAGAGGGCAGGCTTCGCAGTACCATCTCTTCATATCTAAATCTTGGTTATCTTAACGAAAAAAAAATGATCATTTTTATCATCGGCAAAACGAAATTTTTTCCGTAATCTATTCAACGGGAAAAACCACTTACCTCTATTGGTTGCATTGGCTTGTTTCTTAGCTTTGCTCAACATCTTCTGTCTCTCATCGTACTCCTTTTTCACGATCTCACCCTTGATCAGAGCTTGCTTGAGAATGGTCAAATGAGGATTTTTGGCGAGCTTAGCTTCCGCGCTCTTGTAGTCCTTGTTCTCGTAGTCGGAATCCATGCTTGACATGTCCGAATTCGGATCCAACGCGTTTTTGAGCTTAGCTGAAAGAACAACGATACTGGTTAAAAATCGCAAAAAGAAAAATCAAGTCAATGTTCGACGCTCGTCAGTTTAGACTTACAAAAGTTTGATGGATTGTAGCTGCTATTTGCGGCATCTCTGCGCTGCTGCTCGCTGTGACAGACTCTGCTGTGCTTGTTGAGATCGGTAATGTTGGCGTACATCTTTGGACAGGTCTTGCACTGGTAGCGCGAGTCGTGCTGCTGAGCATACTGGGTCGCCATCTCCGGGGGCGGAGGCTGTCCCGCATGCCTCGACTTTATGTGCTCCTCGAGATTTGTGCGCGTCGAGTAGATGCGCGAACAAAAGCCACACGTAACTGCTGGATGGCCCCTAAAATGGAGTTTATCCGTTAAGCTTGCTTGTTTTTTAAAAATAATTTAATTTCTATTTTCAACAAAAAGGCTGCTTCCGCTGCTCACCTGTGCGTTGTGGAAACGTGTCCCCAGCGATGCTTGGCGGTTGAGTACGACTTGTTGCAGAGATCGCACTGATATGGCCGCTTGTACGAGGTATGATCGTCCGTGATGACCTTTTCACCGATGACATCTCCCGCCCCGACATGAATGCGAGCGTGAAGTGATAAGTGGCCCTTGGAGCTGAAGGCCTTGTTGCAGAGCGAACAGACGTAGACCTCGTGCTGTTCGTTGCGGTGCTGGAAGACCTCGGACTGCTGTTGCTGCTTCTTCGCTGTTGACTTTGACGGCTGGGGTAGGGCGTTATCCTCCTCAGCCACCATCGCGCTCATCTCGAGGAAATCGCTCGGGTTTGTTTCCATGTCCATCTCGTACTCGTCCGACTTGTGGTCGTCCATGTCGTGATGCTGGTCCATTATGGTGTCCTCGATATCGAGCTCCGTGTCTGACTTGAGCCTCGGGGGAGTGCCCAAGGCGGCGTTCGGATTGACGACAGACGCCTCGGGAATGAGTAGCGGAGCACCGTCCTTGTGCTTGAGCAACTCCATGCGCAGTTCCGAGTACGGCTCCATGTCCCCGTCCTCCTGTTTGATGTGTGTCGGTGATGACTGAGGCAAATAAGACACCGATTATAGTATTTGTGCGGAAATAAAAATGATAGATAAGTGGGCGCGTCGTCGCTTACCTCGAGCGTCTCCGCATGTTTCGATAGGACCTCTTTTGCATTGATGCAAGCCAGCCTGAAGCCAAAGAACTTTTCCAGCTTGTACATGCATCTGTAGCAAAGGCATTTTGGTAGCTTGTCGTCTTCTTCTATCTGCAAAGGACAAAAAGTACATCATATTAGTTTAAATTTTATCAAAGTACAACATTGAACAATTCTCATTATATATTCATGTGATTTCGCTAAACGACCTCTTTAACGAATAATCGCAGACAAAATCACGGGTGTACAAGTGTATATAAGCGTAGAGAACCGCTGGTTAATAGTGTGTACCGGCTATCACTATCATTCATTGAATCGTCCATTGATCCGATCCGAAAAAGCAATGACAACGACGAAAATTCGTAATTCATATGCCGCGTGTACGTATTTAGTATATGTGTATGTAGGTACACATTATATATATATGGGTCAAGGTGGGCGCTTGAAAGAGGATAGGTAGGAAGGTATAAATAAGTATAGGACTCGAAACAAATGAAAGGGAATGAGAAAGAGAGGAAATGCACGATTGCACGAAGAGATAACGTAAGAGTTTAATGCACCCTATGTGGTGGTGCAGGGTTTTAGGTAATGTGTCTTTTTACATTTCTCAGCGAGTGGAGGGACGCCCTCCCTCTTTGTCGCTAATTTGGTTGATTTTTCGAGTTCGTTTCATCAAAGGGAAAACCAAAATTAAACCCAGGGATGGGAACTGGTGCGATGTGCGCATCAGAAAACTAAGTAAGTAATTAAATTCCAAAACATTCGGGTTTAGTGTTTGCTAATCACCAATGCTGATCCTCTACTGTTTTACATATCGATGAGTACAGGAGCGTGGAATTGGAATAAAGTTGATTCAAAGGTAGTGGGTAAATTCAAAAAATGAACATAAAATCGAACTGCGTGTCTCTGAAAAAAAAAAATAAAAAGAAAAAAAGTTTTGAAATGTTTCGAGCGCGGCTCAGCATCGTATAGAGATGAAAAGAGAGTCGGAGAGGAGGAGGAAGGTAAAAAGCATCCGAGAAAGAGTGGGAGAGAGAGAGAGCTCAGAGGGAAATTCCGCACCCCTGAAAGAGCGGCCGAGATGTTTTCTGGCCCTTATTCTCCGATGCGTTACGTAAAGGCATCATCATCGGCACCAACTGCAGCTCAGGAAGGCCCGCGCACATCAGACCACCACCAAATAAGCAGAGGAGAGAGAGAGAGAGAGAAAAAAAGAAAGGACGGACAGCGAGAACCCGTGGCGGTCGGGCTGCTGCAGAAAAAGAGAGAACGGGGGCGCGCCTGCACACACGGGGAGAGTCGGGTGCCAGGTGCAGCGCATAGTGTGCGCGGCGATGCGCCACGGAGCCGCGCGCGCACCGGGGGACGCCCCAGGTATATTCTACAGCACCGCCTTTCTCTCTTCTCACTCTAGAGTATCATATATAATACACTCGGAGAGCCCGGCTCTCGCAGTTACCAGTTACCCAACGTACGCGCGCACACACACACACATACATAATAAATACAGGTAGACACGGTGCATGCAGCAAGCGCAAGAGGGAGGGAAGCTCGGACGGGCAGTATATCGAGCGGCCTCAGGTATAACCGGACAGCCTTGGCTTCGCCCCGGCCCGAGAGACCCGAACCGGCGCGCTTGCCTGATGGCTGCAGCGTGTGCATGCTTCGTTCTCTCTCTTTCTCTCTTCGTCCGTCTCTTGCCCATAATATATATATATATATATATATATACGTTTGTACAAGTGGGTATAGGTTTCGTGTAGCTAACTCTCCCCCGAGCCTCATGCAGGATGCATAATAGCGCCTAGGCCGCTCCGGTCAAGCTGACCCCGCTTCTGACGTAGCATGTACTTACTTGCTAGGTGATATCTAATATACTTTTAGAGAGAGAGGGAGAGTGATCGCTTGTCTTCGTTCGTTTGGGTCATTACTTTGGCCTTGATGAGTTTCACGCGATTTGACGGCTCGGTAGTTTTTTTTTTTTTTTCTTTTTTCCTCCAAAAGAAAACGGGGGACTTTTTATCGTTGAAGACACGTTTCCTTGAAAAAAAAATCATCAAAACTTACGAAAAAGGGATACCGATCGACGAATCGATCGGCACATCAGTTCCTTTACGCCTATGTATTTGTATGTGTTTTTGCCGGCTCTCTCTCATTCTTATCCTCATTCAAGTTTCAAGATATACCTAGTGTGTATGTGTGTAATAAGGTATACGCGTTACTTTGGTACTTGGTACACGTTATAGTATAGCCACAGTAAGTACCATATGCCCCATATGCCTAGTTGGTTGCACCAGCTCGGTGCAGCGGTGCACACACGAGCTAGGGTACAGCAACAAGAAAACAACGGTAACAGGCGCGCGAAGATGGTTACGTAAATGGTATACCCGGAAAGAGGGAGAAAATGAGGGACTCAGGAATGCAGATGGACTGAAGTTGTGCACGCATACAAAAAATATATATAAATATATTATATACTTGCAACGGTAGAAAACAACTTTTCAGGTAAAAGGATTACCTATGTACTCACAACCATAACTTAATCTCGAGGCTTGTCTACGCGAGATGGCGTGGGTATGATATTTTTTTTTTATAATTATGGTATACGCTCTGATACTTGGATACGACATCGTATTATGTCATCACCGGGTACCGGTATCGGTGTAAAAATGAAAATAAAAAACCCTCCATCAGTCGCGAGAGCGGCTCGCTTTTATTGACCACTGCCCAAGACATGTATCTAATATGTTACGAAAAAAAATAAAATAAAATAAATAAATAAATAATACAGGGCAGCATGCACGTAACACGTATGCATATCGAAATTCGAAATCAGGCTGAAGCGAGCGCGGCAGTTGCGGAAGCACCGCTGTCGTGAGCATGACACACGCGAAAAAAGAAAAGTAAAAAATAAAGTAAGTACGCCTTCCTCGCGTCGGTCGTGGCTCGTCCGTTCTTGCGGAGGACGTGGCAGCTGCGGCGCGAAGCTTATACGAGCCAGGCCTGGCCTCCACGTCGCCGCCGCCTCTCCGCTCCCCGTCGCCGGCGGGTAGCCGCAAGAAAGGGAGAGAGAAGAAAACTTTCCGTCCTCCTCCTCCTCCTCCTCTACTCCTCGTCGTCAACGCCGTCGTCTTCGTCGTGTCGCTCGATCGTGTTCCCCGGCTCTCTTGTACATACATAGGTAGCTCTCTCTCCTCTGCTCGAGGCAGCGGTGTACGTACATGCAGAGAGGCGCGACGTAATACTAATGTAAGTGTATGTGTGTAAGTAGGCACGGTAAAGTGGATATTATTGTATGGCAGAGCCAGTGAACCGTCGAGGTCAAACGAGTCGAGTTATAATCGTCGTCGACCTGGTTTGTCTGCTATTTTTTTAATATATTTTTGTTCTTTTCAACTTCATTATCGATGCGTCCTTCGTTTCTTAAGGAAATAAGTATTTCCACTCTTTTTAATTATGATTGCTCGAAATCTAAAAGCCGAGAAAAAACGATGAAGACGTTTCTTTAGCATCAAGGCAAATGCCTACCTTACCGACGAAGACCTCGCGAATTCGAATAACCTCAAAATTATTCCAAAACAGTACAGTTGTGACGCTGTTGTAAGTAGATACTGGTCGGTGCTTGTGTGAAACCGTTAGTATATGGTTTTGTGGGGCCTTTACTTATGGACAAATGCAATAATTAGAAACGGCAGTAAATAAAAGGAAACAAGCTCATCATCATTTGACTGATAAAATGTACGAGACGAGAGCTCTGATTGAATATGCGTGTGTACATAATTGCAAAAGGCGAGGAGAAGCAAATTGGCATTCCGTTCTCTCGGGGATCGTGCAGCTTACGTTGTCGTCGTCATGTCCCGGACATGACGAGTCCGCATCTCGACTGCTGCAGCAGGCCAAGGAAGAGGAAGGGGAACGCGCTGTCGCCGCTTCTTCTTCGGGCGACAAACATGTCAGCGACGTTGCTGCTGACGCTGCACCTCGGCTTAGCTATTATACTTATGTATGACCACGGGGAGTATGTGACATGCTGATTTAGGATACTGCAAGGTATGATGGTACAGCCGAGGTCGAGTTTGCGAGACGATAGGTATTAGGTTTCAACGATTTTCCTCCGTTATGAACGACCTTTGAACGAAGGACTGGAGCTGAGTAAAAAGAAAATCAACAAGGCAACACGTATTCCCGGGTGATTTTTTTGCTGCTAAGTATGTATGGATGCACATGTATTCTCGAGGTTTTCCATCAAAAGTTATTGATGGCATAAATGATTATAAACAGGTCCATTATTTAATATTCAAACAAAAGAAGAAACTCGTGAAAAGGATAACCTAACTTTTTAAAATTGCGAAAATTTTAGGATAGCTAAACCAAGGCACCAGACGAACGAACCTGAGTCCATACCTACAACTTATCGAAAATTCGGACCCCAGAAGCAAGCACATAGTTTCAGGGAGAGAAAGCGGAGTTTCCACGTTCTTGTAATCATATCCTTAGATTTTCGGCACGAGGTCCGGAAGACTATAACAACTTCGCGTCGACGAGCCGCACTTTCTTGCTTATGATAGTTTCAAAAAGAGTAAGCATTGGAATTCCGAAAGTAAATAGAAACATGAAAATCCAGTACATATAATATTGATATACTCTTATATTGTAGGTTTATTTACTAAAACAAACGAAGGCCACCATCGTGTGCTACGTGTATACCTACAAGCTTGTATGCGCATAGTACATCCGGCCACATGCAAATAACAGTTTGATACCGACACGTGCTATTTCTGTAAAAAGCTATATGCAGAGCCGGTTGACCGATTTTACGGCTGAAAGGGGCTGCTGAAAAGGTGGGTTGTGTTATCGGTACGGAGGCCAGGGCTCTTTGATGGGCTAAAACTCCGATACTATAGTATCGTATACGTGGAGAACGAAATGATAGATGTGTGTGCCCACACCACCACCCCCTGTGCAGTCGTTGGCCACGAATCGATAAATCGGTTATGTAGGTCCCTTGATTCTCGTGAGCTTCAGTTGTGTGGATGTGTATTATGATATTGTATAGCGATCGAAAGTTCCACGTGAACGGGTCTTGGATACGTATCGTACGACTTGATTGT